GGGGCGTGGGGCGGGAGAGTCAAGAGTGGGGGCTGCTGGGTGAGAGGGTGGTTGAGAGGCGGCGAGGGCTGCAGTTGGGCTCGGGGCCGGCAGCGCAAGACAGGACAGCAGCAGAAGGCTCTTTTATTGCCGTGGGGGCGAAATCAAGTGAGCCTGGCCCCTGTCGACAGCCAACTTCCTGCATTTGCTGCGCACGCCAGCAACCCAGTGCGGCGTAGCAGCGCGCTCACCGGGTTGGCGTCCGCCTCCTCAAACGCCTTGGCCCCCCTGTCGCACAGCGCTGCGCCCCGCATGTCGGCGAGCCGGATGCACCCCTTGCTGCTGCTGTACGCAAACACGTTGCAGTGCCGTGGGTGAAACTCGGCCGAGGTTATGACCTCCGTCAGGTCCTCCATGTGCTGCGGCTTGATGTCCACGATGTTGAAGCTCTGATCTGTGACCTCGAGGTTCCAGAGGTTGATTCTCAGATCGTCGGCCGACAGGAACGTCTCCTGGTCGCTGTTGACGCTGATGGAGTTGATGTGGTACGCGTGGGCATTGGAGTAGACCCGCTTGGCGCGCGATGCGAGCAGCAGCTCGCTGCCGGCGACGGTCGGCATGCGCAGCGGCCACGGCGCGGCGGGCGGCTGCGGGGCGCTGAAGCCGGGGGCGAAGCCGCCGCTGCGGGGCAGGCCACGGTGGGGTGTGGGGCAACATGTGAGTCTGCAGGGTGGTAGTCTAGTGTCGGCACCAGCCTGGTTGGCTGGTTTTCGACTCGCGGGGTTGCGGTCAGGTAATGCAACCTTGCCCGTCCTGCATTTTCCAAGCGAGCGCGTGGCTGCGCGAGGGGCTTGCCTCGCCCTCGAGGCCTCACACGCGGCCAATCCCCCAAGGTGGCAGCTCCCTGGGCCATGCTTGGTGTGGGCCCCGCTGCCGAAAGGCACCTGCTGCGGTCGACGTTGAACCCTGTGACGCTGGACACTCTCTTCTCGTACACCTTCCACAGCTTGATGGTCTTGTCGTTTGTGGAGATCACGTGCTTGCTGCCGCCGCGGCTGCGCACCCACCGCACCTGTATGAGAGAGAGAGAGAGAGAGAGCGAGAGTGTGTGTGTGTGTCAGCAAGTGTGTGTGTTGGGGGGGGAGGGTGTGCATGCATGTGTGCGAGTGTATGCGCGTGCAGCACGCACGCATGCGCCCACGCGTCAAGTGTGTGCGTGAGTGCTCACACGGATGCATGCATACGTGCGCTCAAGCTGATGCACGCGCCCAGAATGCACATGCGAATCACATGTGTGTGTGTGTGTGTGTGCGTGTGTGTGTGTGTGTGTGTGCACACACAGAACACCCCAGCATCCCGCAGGCAAAGAGAAGGGGGCCGGCGGCAGAGGAAAGGAGGCGGGCACAGGGGGAGAGAAGGGGGGACATGGCGAGCAGGCGCCGGGCCAGTGGGGCCCGGCCGCCGCGCGTGGGACGCCGTTTTGCAGGAAGTCTTGTCGTTTTGGTGCTTTGTGCAAAGGGGCCTTCGTCATGCACGCCCTGCGCCCGCGCACCTTGTTGATCTTCTCCTCGATCTCGAGGCTCTTGAGGTAGTCGAACTCGGGCTCGTGCGACTGGAACTCTGTCAGGTAGCGGTACTCAAACCCGGGGCCGCGCGGCAGGGGCGGCGCCCGCTGGTCCATGCCGACATACCGCTGCGCGCGGGGGAGGGGGGCAATGGGTGGCAAGGGGGGGGGGGCTTGGAGGAGGGGCGGCGGGGGGTGAGACGCGCGGCAGCCGGGAAGCGGCGG